TGTGTGTGTGTGTACTACAAGCTCATACCAGAAATGTTTGCCAATCTGATGTTTCTAGTACCAAGAAAGGTGACCATGCGATTAAAAACCCAGAAACCCGACTGCCCACCTAAACCTGCTGACCTGGCGCAGAGAGTCAGAAGTCTGATGTCTCCGATAGATGATGCCCAGAGAGAGTTCGCACCAGGACGAATGACAGATGTTACCCAATCCATGTGCTTCCTGCCCGACAACCAGCCCCAGATCACCAACAAAACGTCCAATAGGAGATTTGAAGACCTGGACATCCCTTACATCGATGAGGATGAAGATTTAACCTGCACATAACACCACAAGTTGTAATAATTGGAATATTCCCAAGTATGTGTTAAAAGATTTGTAAATGTCAAAAAAATAACTGTGCACTTTGTTTTGTAGACTTTTTCCATTTTTCAATGCTGCTATGGAAACAAAGTGCTTTGCGACGGTAGATGGTACGGGCTGTCCCTTCAGGGTTTTTATAACTGATCTGGAGAAGAACCAACAGCAAGGACTACTCGGCCTCTTCATATTTCTATGCACTGTATGTGATATAAAACGGATTTCAAAAATGTACAGTTCACATTTTATAAAAGGTAGGTACTTATGTGAAGCTGTGTGACCAGCAGTGTTTCATCCATAGAGAAAAACATGGTGAGCAACTAAGGATACAAGTCCCTCCTTTACCAGTGTACATTATTCTGAGCTCCACCACTGTGGTATTAATGGGATTTTTATGGTGTTTGTGGGGGAAAAAAATGTCTTGTAAGTGTACCAAAAAGGCGTGGTCGGAGAATCGGAGTGCTTCTTGATTACACAGAGCGACATTGCGTTTCGGGGCATTGTTCATCTAAAACTTTTTTCTTATGTTTTTCTGCTCTTCATGTTCCTGTGGTACTGCTGTGACTGACCATTGATTCAATACACCTGAAAGGGGAATGGGCATATTGCTACCTTTTAGACTGACTGAAAATACTTCCCTCTGTAACTTCTCTTGGCTGTGCAGTTTCACAAAGTAAATGTTTTGTCTGTACATGTAGGTTTTTTTTAAAACATGCATGCCTGTACATTTTACACGGACTAATGCGTATTGGGGTGAACATCCTCAGGGTTTGACTTTTGTGTAATAAACTGACCATTTTCAAACGTCTCATGCTGTATTACAGATGTCTATAACCAATACTCCAGCTTTGACAATGACAAGTCTCTTAACGGTATATTGCATATTCTGTTCAAATATTAGGTACAGAAAAATTACTGTACATGAAGCACTGCCCAACATAAAAAAGAACATGAAATGTTTGAACAGAAATGTATCGGTTAGAAACTAAAGACCAGATTTTATATTTCGAAATGCTATATTATAATTATTCCTATGGTGCTTTTTCCTGTCTCTATTGTATTTATTGAAAGACCACGCTATTGATTAAAGATGGGGGG